GTAAAGACATGGAGAGGGAACGTAGGGCGCTGTCAGTCAGGAGCAATATGTTGATCCGCAGGTTTGCAAAGTGTTCTCATGATGTGAAGGCTACACTTTTCAGGGCATATTGTCAATCTTTTTATACCTGCAGCCTATGGGTCGACTACACGCAGAGGGCTTACAGCGCCTTGCGAGTCCAATATAATAACGCGTACAGGGCACTGTTGGGGCTGCCTCGACACTGTAGCGCATCGGGGATGTTCGCTGATGCACGCATAGATGATTTCTACGCAATCATAAGAAAGCGTGTCGCCTCCCTGATGCAGCGGGTGCGGGGCAGCGCCAACAGTCTTCTGATGACCGTGGCGGATAGGACTGATGGCCTTATGCTAAAACACTGGACGAAGACGCAAGTGTTGCCTACAAACCGTGCCCAGAAGTAGTGAAAGTCAGCAGTATTGTTACTATATTATCATTATATTACATATTATGACAAATTATTTTAATTTTATATAAAGAGGTGTGATGTACTAATACTAGTTTATAAGTTGTAGATATCTTTACTAACCATATGGATTGTATTATCTGAATAAATAAATAAATTATTATTATTCCATAAATTATTATTATTATTATTATAATATTTTTATATAAATAATAAAACGGAAATGTCCTTTAAATGCCGCTTTAATAAATAAAATTGACAAAGAAGTGCAATCAATCCTTTCCCCTTTAATTGTGATGCAATATATAATGTTTTCTCCAAAATATGTCATCAAAAGCGGTTTTATACGTCCAAATCACTTCATCACTAATTGCGTTTCAATTTTTGGGAACACATTTATCATGATTGTTTATACATACAGCTTATACCAAAGTTATGAGTACTACAAGAAGGAATGCCTTACTCTAACTTCGACCAGTTTATGAATTTGTACGCCTGTATATATTACAGTATCGGGTTCACTATGAATGCTGTCATGGGCATTGTTCGAACCAAGTATTCTATCAACTTGGTGATAATATTTCAAGAAGTGCACAGGTTCCTCAACAATGAAACTGATTCTAAGAACTGTGTCTTGTGGAATTGTATCTTCATTATAATCACATTTATGTACTCCCCTTTGTACCTACAGTTGCATTTTTGCATTTTTTGCCGGTTTTCTATTTTTATTTTTGTTTCTTATTTTCGCATTGTTTTTTTTCGATTTTAATACAATTTACTCAGTACGAAATATAAAATTATTGACTAATAAAGTTGATATGTGGAACATTGAAGTTTTGTGTAAGGGGAATATCGCAGGCAGTCACGGAGAACATTACTGTAAGGAACTGTTTCAGACATACGTCAATATATTGAAGTGCTGTTACATTCATAACGATTGTTTAAGGAATTTGTGAGTAACATCGACCATCAACACTCGATCCAATTCTAGTTCTATAATTTGGTTTGCAATAATTTTGATGATATTTTCATTCGTCTGTTCGTATTATTTATTACACTTGTTTCTTTATTTCAGATTCTATATTACATTGTACAAGTATTTGTGCATTCTCTTACTTACATTCAAATCGCGATTAATGTGTCTATGTCTTTTTTTCTAAGCAACAACCGCCACATCTTCCCAAAACCGCTGTAATTCTCGTAAGCCAGGATCTACAGTAGATACAACCATGAAAACACCGGAACACTGAAGTGCGGCGCGTCCCAGGGACATGAGTAACTGTCTTGGTTCCCACAACGAACGATAGTTTCCACTTCCCTCGGTGAATTACTGCAGGAGACAGAGTGAATTAAGTCTAAAGGCACAAAGAAAAGAGACTGTACAACTGGGTGAAGCACTACGAAAATTTGAATAAAATTTAAGTGGGTCCTATGTATGAGTTGTTACACTTGCTTCTAGTAATGGCAAAAACGCCTAAACGCACGGAAATATGTTCTAGATTCCACAAGGTCCGTATAATAAGCTGCACCTGACGAAACAATTAAATTATTTAACATAGTGTTACGTTCATACTGCGAAGATCACACTCCCAGAGTATGTGATGGGCGGGCTGCTCGTATTACAGCTCCGCTGTCGAACATTGGCTCCATGGTGAATCAAAAAGTTTAAATGAGAACAATTTGCTTTTAAAGTTGCCGTGGCCAGTAAGAAATTGGGCAACACTGTGATCCACCTCCAACCATGTCCTCTCCAGCCGCTCATGAACGGATGGGAAGAACTGATATAGGTGGCGGCCCTTAATAGAAGATTCCCATCTACACTGCCATTCGGTTATAAGCTCGCCCCAAACGTCCGTTAATGGCTTGAACAATCTAGTAATTATATTTCGATCACGTTGTGCTAGAAAGCTTGCTGATAAATTAAGTCTCGTATTATAGTGGTGCGCACATTGCAGCGACGTGCTGCACCTCAACATCAACTGGAAGCACGCCTGCGAGCACAGGTAGGGCCTCAGTGCTAACCGTCCTATAGGCCTTACACAAGAAAATCAAGGCTAGACGCTGGCCTTGGAGAAGTTTTCGCCTTACCTCGCCTATTGTGGCTCTATCAGCCCAGACAGGTGCCCCGTAGCACACGCATCCCAGGTAGGTTGCGCCGTATATGATCCTGAGCGTAAGAAAGAGAGCTGTGGCAATGTCTATTAATATGGCTATTGAGGTGACTTTAAGGAGTTTTATTTTAGTAAAGGCTCTTTTTTCTGGATGTATCCCCATTTTTTACATGACGAAGAAAATGTTTAAGCAAAATATTTTAATTTCCTTTCTTTACATATTTTATCTTTTAAATATCTTCAGTAGTTTGGAAATACATCCGGAGTCTAGAATAAGGTCCTTCTGCTATATTTTATAGATTGTGTTGTCATTTTATTAACTATTTTACAGAATGAAACTATAGTAGTTTTATTAAGCATACGGCTTTGTTAGCCCGGCTAATGCAGAATATTTGGTGGGTCACAAAGATGGAACAACAATATGAACTATTTTACATTCCTGTTCAACGTGTACAACATTGTACGCTTATATTGCAGACAACAACTTCTGGTAATTATTAATTTTAAATATCATATTTTGAATCTAAAGGCCTTTGTTATTTACTAGAGTTTAACAGACCAAATTAAAACATTTCATCTAATGCCTTAATGACATGTTATATTAAGAATCTTTTGTGTTTCTTTCTTTCTTTTTAAAAAAACGTTGCCCCACACTAGGATTTTCTCCTGTGTCGTGGGTGCGTTTACAAACACACAAGTTCACATGCACAATGACACCCAGACCCGAAACAAAATTTGTGGATCACACAAAGTGTTGTTCCGTGCGGGAATCGAACCCGCGACACGTTGCACGGCAGCCGGTTGCCCAGCCACCGCACCAACCGTGCAGTCAGTGTAATTTTGTAATTTAATTAGTGTAATTTAATAATTTGAAATAAACGAAATTGGTGGAATGCCACGAACGGGGACAATGTTCAAGATGTTTAATGATTAATAAAGAAGGTAAAAGTGTGCTATATCATACTGGCACACCAGTAAAAATTAAAAATTGTGATAGTTTATAGATACTGATAAAAATTTTGGTATAAGATAAAATAATATTAGAGAAAAGCTATTTACGTTTGAGTTTAAACATGATTTGAGGAC